GAATCAACTGAAACCACGAGACCACACGCGCATGGCCGACCAACTGAAGGACGTGTTCGACATTACACCTGTTCATAACGAGTCTACTACTATTATGGACCAAGCGATGCTGAATGCAGAAGAGACGCCGCCTCCTGTAACTCAACCGGCTACACAACTTCGACGCTCAACACGGATTCGTCGCACGCCACCTCGCTTCAATGTGGATCCGTCGAAGAAATCTTACGTTCATTAGTAAAAAGGGGAGGTGTTATAGAGGGCTCACCGCTCAGATAGTCAGTATCACATCCTAATGTGTTTGTTTACCAGAGCGGCTGTCGAAGCCTATATAAACACTTCCTCAAGTGAGGTTGATTCATTGTATTCGTGGTCTACCCAATAAAGCAATCCCATCTACGTCTCCACAACAGGCGTGAAAGTGGAAAACTCGCGTTTCAGTAGAGTGGCCTAGGTAGCCATAAAGGGAAGAAACAAGGGACTATTTTATGAAGAAACTTATGAACGTTTGATGAAATCTTCACTCTAGTTCCAAATTATTATAGTTTAGAAATCTCAAAAGTCAATCATGAAGGACAAGAGCGTTTGGCAGTTGAAAACTCGCATGTGCACAAAAAACGGAATGACGGGACGGTTACATTTTAGAAAATGCTATTTTATTTTTTTGAATTCTTGTATCTGATGAATGTATTCCCATGAGAATGCTACTGAGGAATGATATGAACTTTTGAATGGAGGTTCCGCGGCAAGACGTGGTTATCACTTTATAAAGAAAAGGGTGTTCCGAAAGTTTGAAAAAAAAAACTTGGTAGTTTTCAGAAAGTAGAGTTCTTTGCGAGTACAAGCTCAACTAGGTTTTTGCAAAATGTTGAAAGTTACCTTCGTTGAATGAATACATTTCATGTCACCTCGAGTCACTTCCTTTGAGCGAGACAAAGTGCGCGACGTATTATCCCACTGCCCACCACCTCTTTCCATGTCGATGACGGCCCGTACGTCGATGATGGGCGTGAAAATATGTAAAAAGACCTTGATAGCTGTAGCAGGTCGTACTGATACCTTCTGAAAGGGAGAAGGGCCGTAAAATTTTTGAAATCTGGGCAATGCGCGGTTGACCCTGGCTCGACTACACCGCAGGAAGACATCGGATTCAACCAACGTCAATCATCCGCTGGCACTATCCCATCGAGGGGGTCGCCTATGTGATTGTAGGGAAGGGGGAATCGTATTTGAGGTAGAGTAAGGTAAGCTATGTTTGGGAAGTGTGAATCGGGGTTGTATTTGTGGAAGTTGAAAGGGTGGTGGAGCGAGAGAGGGAGGTCGTTTTTGATGAGTTTTCTGACGATATTG